TTGTTCTATTTAAGTGTACGTCAAACTGTACAGCTTTCTTGTATTATTTCTGACTGAGGATGTACTAAGATATTGTACGAAACGTCTCGTAATACATAGTTATGCATTCGGTGTTTATTATACTACTTCTGTATCCTATTTACACATTCGAGCGCTCGTGTGGCACATAGAACATAAATCACAATTTATCCTACAACATTGATGCCAGCCAACTTTGTTTTAAACTTCTAGCTCTAATAATAGTTGACTTTATTTGTCTGTGGAACAAAAGAGACTCTTTACCATTGGAACGGTGGCTTCCTTAAGTACTGCAGCACATTTAAATTTAGAAACTCTCGTGTTATATCATAGGGGTTATCTTGCCTGAATGTTTTCATAATCTTTGTATTCCATTCTTTTATTTTCTTATTTTGAAGAAATACGAGTAAACCAGTTAGTAGTGATTTATTACATCGCCAACCAATATCGAAGTCGATGAATTATCTGTTTGTAATTATAACCAATTGCGCTAGACGAAATATCAATACTGTAATGTCAAAGGTTAAACAGCAATAATCTCCTTTGTTTACTCAAAAGTTCAGATCAAATTTGTCAACATCTAGCAAATATGATAATCAAAGAGCTAAATTTAGGTGATGATGACAAAGTCTGGTCAACTGACAATTTTGAATTATTTACACATATTTTTTCAAATTTGGAAACATATAGGATTTATAACGTTCCCAGTGCTAATGAATTTTATTCTTTCATGCCAGTCATTCTTACAAAATTCAGAAAATTAGTAACATTATCGGAATTTTTGAAATCACGTCCGTTTTTGCCATCCAAATCATTTGTGGAAAATTGGCTAAAAGAAAACACAATTAAACTAAACTTTAATTTGAATTGTGCTTCCAGTGGTAACGTTGTTCATATATGGCTGTAAAAATGACGCAAGGTTGTTATCAACACAGGTTTCTGAGTTTTTCTTCGCTAAAATGTCAAAATGGACATGTTGAACTGCCCACTTAACTTCTAAAACGCAAAAATTCGTAATAATCGTAGCAAGTGCACATTTTGCCGTCACAGACTGCATGCATTCCTCTTTTCATGGTAAGAAAGAGTATTCTCGTTTTTTTCATACATATCACCGGATAGAAAATTTTTAAAAGCTTTGTCGGTCAAAACCGATTGCAGATTCGTCTTCTCCATGGTTGATTATGTGGTACCCGATAACTTCTGGATCGGGGTACTTTAGAAAAAATTTTCGACATCATTTTGCCTTTGGTCTCGTACAGTAACTTTTTGAAAAATTTTTGAACAAGACCATGACAGTTATCGCGTAGCACATAGTCAACATGGAGAAGATGAATCTGCAATCGGTTTTAATCGAACAAGCCTTTAAAATTTTCGATTCGGTGATATTTGCGTGTTAGACTAGAAAGAAAATTGAAAGTAAGAAGGAAACTACTTTTGTTTACGATCCTAGTCGTGATTGTTCCAGTTCTCAAATACTGGAAAGTATCACTAGTTATCTCGTCATTGACGTCATTAATTTATGATGCAGTACTCAAACTTCGTCAATTCATCACATACACTACTTTCGGGAAATTTACTATTGCGTCTTTATCGTTCGCAAACACTGTCAGCCTGAGAGGAGGATGTAAGAGTATTGTGAAATGAGACTAAGAAGAAAAGCATGTAAAGATAATCAGAGAGTTTGTCAGCTGTAAAGTTTTAAATAGAAAAAAAATACAATTTCTTGTCTTTACTTTCTCTTCATGGCGATGTTAGATGCCTTCGTATTACATTGTACTCTGTTATTGAAGAGAACACCGAAAAAAACAAAGTACAAATGAATGTGAAAAAGCTCACGTTCATGTTATGCACCTGGAATCTGTTTTTGATCTTTCGTTGCCATTGGCACTTCCGTTTCTTCGACCACTGCATGTTTTCTGTGGCCGTAATTACAAAAAAGACTAGTGTTAGATCCATAGCGAATAAATAATGTCAACATTACTTATTTGCTATGGGTCTAATATTAATCTTCTTAATAATTATTCTCAGGGTAGACAAAATAGTCGAAGAAACGAAAAAATTATTCTCTTAGGTGTACATATAGTTCACGATAAAAAATAAACGATTTTTTTTATTAACATAGCCCTTCGATGCAACGTTAACTTGATATTCGTGATGTAGATCGAACCATATAAAATTCGATTAGTTTCTTTCACGTTTCTCGTCGATCTTGTACACGAAACATATCTGTACGATAGCATTGTCGTTATTTCTCATTCGTTTAACATTTTGCCAATGGTACACTAAGATCAAAAATCGATGACTTATTTACATGAAGCCAATATGCTTATATCATTCTACTCGCTATAATAGCACGAAGTAGTTACGCATCGATTTCGGACATATTGTTCCGTTATTGAGAAAATAAATTTGTTGAAACAAGTGGCAAAAAAGAAGGGAATACACTTGTATTTTGCAGTTCTCACTATCAAACTTCCATTTTTTTTTTTGCAAAACCAATATCATATTTGGAATCAACATCAAAAACTGAATTGATTGATGTCTGTTTCACGACTTTTGGATAACTTTCATTTTTTTCGAACTTTTCGTAGAGATTTTTGCGAAAAAAAGAAAGTTGTCCCCGTATCATTCAATTCGCTTTTTGATGCTGATTCCAAATATGACATTGATCTTGCAAAAAAATGGAAGTTCTTGGAACCAGCTTCAGGCCTCAATAGCTTCACTAGCACAAGCAACAGAAAAAGTTTTAAGATAATTTTTTTTTCAACTTTGTTAAATGAAAGTCAATAGTTTAGTCTGTTTAGCTACAAATAACAATATGGTTTTAACTCATCAAGTCGAAATATTCTAGCAACATGAGCGACAAAAATTTACAAAACCTTTTATATGGCTTTCTAGTGCGTTACAATGTATGTCGAGTTTCTTCTTCCATCTAAATCATAAGTATTAGAAATTGTAAGGAAACGATTAATAGCATTGTAGATATCTGTAGGGTTTTTATACCACGATTGTGGTAGTAGCGGTATTGATTTGTAAGCCCGCTTTGACCACCACCACTTTGGTGATTTGAATACCACCCACTATTACCATGTTCCGAATGTGTCCCTGAATATAAACCATTACCCGACGTTCTAATGGGTATAAGAGGATCATTAGTATTCTCTGCACCAGCACGGTAATAAGCCGCTGCCTGCTGTTGTTGATTATTGGGTAATTGATTAATGTTTGGTCGAAATAAATTATTACCATTTAAATATTGTTCAGCTAAAGAACGAAGAATAAAACTATACTTTAAGTTTACCCTTGTTACAAAAAGGAGTACGTTCATTGCAGTTACTCCCCCTTGAATCGTACAACATCTACAATAAAACTGCACTTTCACTAGGCACTGTGTCATCAGACTGTCAATACTTTACCTGCATTTGGATATGCATAACTTTCTTGAAGATACTTGATACTGCTGTCTGAATACTTTAAACTGTTGGCCGAAGGACCACCCATTCCTGACTGTTGTTGATCAGAAGTACGATACGGATTATTTGCGTTTGACATGCTACCTAGATTTGTAGACAATGACTGTCGTCGTCGACGTGGCTGTTGCCGTCCATTACTAGTGGCTTCAACTTCAAAAAAAAAGAAAGATGCAATAATAGATAGGATATTCCATATCAAACCCACCACTGAATGAAACTGTGACTTGAAGACGAGATGTTTTCTAGAGCTAGGCAAATATCTTGCACAAATGTGTATTCACAGCAGATAGAACAGATAATATTGCTTTATATAGGGGCTCAAAACATTCAGACTTTCACCTTATTACTTCCTTTTAATGCAAAGCAGAAAAAAATTCTGTATCTTTGGCTGTCCTAATATCTTACCGTTAGGTGATGATAAGTTAGAACCAGTATAATAAACAATCAGTAAACCGATAGCAAGGTTTAAGTCACAGCAGAGCATTGTATTTCAGTTTAATTTTTTGTTCTGCTTTAAACCAATCTTGATGTCTCTTTTTCTTTATTTAACTTTTTTATTTTAACAAGAAAGAGGTCATATACAGTGCACTGCAATTAATTTTAATAGTAGTATATTAGACACCCACGCATACACAGTGAGAAAGGAAGAGAGCATTCTTGTTTTATATTATTGTATATGAACAACATCGTTATTAAGATGACGATGAACAACCAAAGAGCACATTTCTTTCATTGTTCTCTTTCTTTTATCGGGATATATACTACTATAACTGGTGGCCCAGAAATAATGACACACTTTTGCAACTTATTTCCTTGCATTTAACTGAGGTACTAAGACTCGATTCTAGACTCATTCGATAGAGAATTTTCTGCTCTACAAAATCCATTACGTTCTTTCATTTTATTGTCTAAAAAGATTATGTAGAGTAAGGACACGTAAAAAGTATAACTGCGATTTACTATCAAACTTTTTAATGGCTTTTTGGCTTTTGTGTAATTTTTCCAGAAATAATATGGTAACTGAAAAAAGAGGGTCCTATAAAAATGTTCAGCGGAGTGAGGACTATCATCCAAACTACGCTGCTTTCCGTTATCTCACTTAAATTTTAAATATTTTAGTGCACAAGTTAATTAGTACTTTCTGACAACGTCAGATTTTGAAAAAGCAGGGAAAGGACTAATCAAATGATGCTGTGTAAGTGTGCGATATAGACGCTTTTGCAGAGCAGAAAATCTTTTGTCTTCTGAAGTCAGAATGAATTCTTGGAAACATATGATATACAGACAAAAATAGGTACAGCAATAACTCCATAATCTTAGGACCATTTGTTGTAAGTGGCTAAATGTTAGGAAAATTATTCTTTTTTAATGTGAATTAATTAAATTAATATGATTTCCTTACGCATAGTGCCTGTGATAAATAGCTGACAGAAACATTATTAAATAATCAATTACGTCGAATACAAAAAGAAATACAAACTGTTCCATTCGTCGCAGTTATAGTTTTTACGTGTCCTTACTCTACATAATCTTTTTAGACAATAAAATGAAAGAACGTAATGGATTTTGTAGAGCAGAAAATTCTCTATCGAATGAGTCTAGAATCGAGTCTTAGTACCTCAGTTAAATGCAAGGAAATAAGTTGCAAAAGTGTGTCATTATTTCTGGGTCACCCGTTACAATGTCTATATTACTACTAAGTACAAAAAAATAGAATAGTAATATAAGTAGTAAATTTTTTTTCGTTAATGAACAAAGAGCAAAAAATTAAGGTCCTATATAGTTGCATACGAACACCACCTTTGCATAATCAACACAAAAACTATCTTCAAAACTATAATATCCTACAAAACTGAGATATTTTTACTAGGTAGTTGCACAGTTCTTTGTGGACGCAAGGAAGCTCGATAAAAGATACTCATATCAGGTTTTCTACTGGGTTCATAGCAAAAAATTAATTTAATTAAAATTTTTTTATATTTGATTAAAGGAGGGGGGCGTACTTGATCAGAAAACGATCCCTTATTTTTTTGCCTTATTTTGACTGGACTTTTGTCGATAAGACATTTGCGCACATTGCCCAGTTGTTCTCATGGAAAATAAGCTCAAAATACGTTTTTAACCTCGGTTGTTTTGAGATTCCTTCAGAGAACGTCGTTCTGAGAAAAAATTAAATTTTTGAAAAATCCAGCTTAGCTGTCCCACAAACCTTAGTATGAAAAGATAGCCAGTGTAAAGACTGAATAAAATACTCTATGAACAATCTTTATACATCTTTTCAATACGAAGAAATTATTTTTACAACAGACAAATTGACCTGAAACGCGGTATCACGAATGTTTTAAGTACTTTTTTCACCATACGCAAACGAGGATGCAGCTTGTATTTAATATAGAAAGATAGCCCTTGATTTACTCTACAATATTCTATATAAAGAATCTTTAACCATTATTGGCCGAGTGACTTATAGCTTACTGCTATACTTATAATACTATAATATCTGTTGTCATTTGCGCGTGTTTTGTTATGGATTGCTATAAAATGAAGACAGAAAAACATGAAAGATGTAAAGACTGTAACAAAATACTGGGTAATAGTCGTGTGCAAATGGCTTCTAGTACTATATATTATAATATTTATTTCTACTCGGGCATTCAAACCAGTATGTCTAGGTGAGCATATTTGTAGTGGCTGTAGAGCACGGTGTGATAAATGGAGACGGAAAACTGGATATGTGTTTGAAAATTTGAAGAGCGATGATATATTAAGGATGATAGTATCAACACATCTTATCAGGATAGTATGGATCAGTCTGTCAGTAATTTTTGTACCCGAATTATTTTCTTTTGGGGCAAGTTGTGACTCTTATAGGATCTTTCTGTTGTTAATGCCAGTTTGTTATCTGTACGAGATTTTGCCAGTAGCCGGCTGTTCTCAAAGGAGAAATTAACTAACCATCTGGTGAAGTAATTAACATAAGTTTTAATAGAGAACGACTTTAGTGCACACTATAGGATTTGCGTTGAAAACGGTTATTCGCTAATTTTTGGATGTGCAGATAAGTTCCATCAGTTACGACGCAAACCTGATCATCATCATCGGTCAGCAGTTTTTTAGCAAGCTCTGTTGTATGATCAGATATAATCTGTTTGTCATGAGAATATTACGGGTACTCCTCCCCTCTTTTTGGGCTTTCCGTAGAAATGCTGTGAAATAAAAACTAAAAGTCGCTAGGGCTTCGCATTTTCAGAACTGATCGGAAACTCAATGCAGCACTTTTTCGTTCTTGTTTCAAGTTTTCAAGTATTACCGTTCACCAGTTTTTCAGAAAAC